CATGAATTCAAGAGTGCAGAATCTGAAAACTAATCACAATGTACACTTAATTGTACTTAATTGTATACTTTATTTAAATCGCCCTTCTTAGGGGTTTAATAATTTAGAATCAATAGTTCCCTGAAAACATAATAAAATATTTACACTTTATAAAATATTAACAGATGAACAATACGCCTGTGTTGTTTGTAAGAGCGTAACTGAAGTCTCTTAATCATGCTGTTGACTCAAACCCGCGAGGTTAACTTAGGGATCTTCGCAAAATGTAAATGAAGATCTTCAGACAGTGGTGTTTACAAAATAGTTCATTAATGGTTTAGGATTGAATCGCTCCAACCATCCGCATCATCTGATATAATAATAGTGACGAATCAGACAGGAAAGATCCTGGCTAAACCATTTGCATTTTTCCCCCAGAAGTACTGAAGTCCTAATATCCCAATTCTTCTAAGTTCCTGGACATTGATCCGGAGGAGGAATCCGCAGTTCAACACCGAGGTAAGAAAAAAACAATGTTATTATCGTTGTTAGGAAATGAATGAGAAATGCATCCTTCCCTATTTGGCAAAGGGGCTCAAAGTTTGACAGTGACCGTTCTTTTTTGCGATCTCCTTCCTTATTTCGACCTGATATTACAGATGAAAAAAAGTTTGTCGATTGAACTCCGTTTCTTTGCAGCAAAAAAAGGTTTTTAGCTACCACCTCGGGTACATTTCCTTGAGACTCTTTACTCTCAGCGACTTTGAATTGTGCAATTCTTCTAACCCATTTGTTTAGAGGGGAAAGAGACGTGGGGTAAAAACAAAACAAAACAAAACCAAACAAACAAAAAAATAAGAGAAGGGAAGCGCTGCCTAAACCTCCAGGCTGGCTCCCAGGAGGCTTACTACCTTGCTCGCTCAGGTCCTCCGCTGGGCTCCCACAGTCTCTCGGGCCACCTCGGCCTCTTTTGGAACTTGGTGGGCGGCGCCAGGATTCGGGGATCACCCGATTTGGACACCGAGACTTAGGCCGGGGCAGGTTTCGCTTCTGGGACCCTTTCTCTTCCAGAGGCTCCCCAGCCTTCAAGGCCCCCAGCTTTTGAGGCCACGGCCGCGTTCTCGAGGTCCACCGCGGGGTGCGGCGAATGAGTCTCGACCAGATGCCAGGCGTGCTCCGTAAACCAGGCTTCCAGCGGTTCCAGCTTTGGGCCCAAATTTCCAGTATTGCCCCCCGGAGCGCATTTCCCGAAACGGAATTTAATTTGGCCCTCTGGCGCCGCCGTACAGTCAACGCTTCTTAAGGGGGAACCGGCGGCTCGGGCTAAGGGACCGAGGGGGGAACCCTTGGGGTCCTGGGGATTAGGAAAGAGCGCCCAGGTGAGAGGCGGAGACCTTAGGCGCCGCTAGTGGAGTGGGCCTCGTCGGCCTTGTGGCCGGCAAGAGCTGACCGTTGCGGTCACACCCCAATTCCCAGCGGCTAGCATTCGCCGCCGGCGCCACGAACGTCTCGCCAGGACCGCGGCTCTGGCCCACGTGCGGCTCCTTAAGGAGGCCTGGCGCCCAAGCAGGACCACAGGGACAAAAGCGCGGCCGGAGCCCATCCTACTCGGCAAGAACCTGCGCCACCTTAAATGAGCGCTAGGGCCGAAGCCCGGCTGCGGGCGGCCGCGGGAATCGGCAAAAGTTTGCGGCTCAGATGCGCCTTTGCGGGACCTGTTGGGGACGCCCTCGCGTGGCCTCCCAGGCCGGGGAGGCTAAGTCCTCACCGCACGGTTCAGTCAGCGCCCGCAGCCCAGGGGCTGAGTCACTTGGGGTCTCTCGAGCCCCAGTCCTGCACCCCGAGCGTAGGCAGCCCCACTGTCATCGCTGCCAAGGCCTCCGAGCGGCCCAGGCGGTTCAGCTCGCGATGTCTCCGGCGCTGCGAGCGCTTCGGGGACGCAATCCAGGGATGTCCCTCACCCGGCGTCCCCCGCGCAGCACCCTCTCGGGGGCCTCCCGCAGCGCGGAGGGCAGTGCTCGAGCTCCCGCGGTTCGGGACACCCCAGCTATTGTTCCAGACTTGCTGTGAAGGGAGAAGCGGCCTTCTCAGCGTCCCGGCCGGCCAGACCCGGCCCGGAGCGGAGCGCAGGCAGCTCCAAGCCGAGGGGGAGCTCGCAGGCGCCGGGAAAGTTGCTCCGAGGGGCGGAGGCGCTGGGTGGTGGGCGGAGGCGGGGGGGTGGGGGGGAGGCGATCGTCCTCCTATCTCGAAAGTCGAAAGTACTCGGCGCAGTTAGCTGAGCCGGGAGCCTAGGCAGCCGTGGCCACCGCCTGCTCGTGGGTCTGCCGGGAGACCAGGCACCCAGCTTCGGCTTCGTCGCCGCCGCCTCTGCGCCGGGATGAGCGCGCCTAGCGACTGAGAGAGGCGGCCGCGCCCTGGACCCACTGCAAGAGAGAGGACCAAAGCCCCGGCCGGCCGGCGCCCACTCCCACCGGGGCGCACCCGCCTGCCAGCCGAGGCCACCGTCTCGCGCAGCA